TGACTTGTTCCAATGGTTTTTGTTGGCGGCACTTTTGCTGTGGCTGACAGACAAGCTTTGGACGGTGCTTGGACAAGCTGCCAAACGTCCGAAGCCCGAAGCCCAGGCCCGCGTGCACGTCAATCCACGAACAGGAAAGTTGGAGGTGGTGTCATGATGGAACTGCTGACCAACTTTCATTTTCTGCGGCCCTATTTTCTTTTGCTGTTGCCGATTGTTGGGGGCGTTTGGTGGCTTTGGATCACACGCACCGGACCACTTCAAGGGTGGGCCAGCCAGATCGATCCCGACCTGCTTGCCGCTTTAACGCTTCGTCGAGGCAACGCAGAGGGAGTGTTTAAATGGAGTTCGTTGGCGGTTGTGTTGCTTATGGTCTTCGCCATCGCGGGACCGACCTTCCGTATGGAGCCGAGCCCCTTTGCGGAAGATGCTCCGCCGCTGATGATTTTGTTGAACGCCGACAAAGCGATGGAACCGGACGACCAAGAAACGTCGCCGCTGAATCAAGCGAAGTTGAAGATTGCCGACCTGGCCGAAGCGAGAAAGGGGCAGCCATTGGGCTTGGTCGTCTACGCCGGATCGGCCCACTTGGTATTGCCCCCCACGGAAGATACGTCGGTCGTCGCTCAGATGGCAGCGGAAGTGAGCCCGGAGATCATGCCGCGGCCTGGCAATCGACTTGACTTAGCCATTCAGCAAACCAGAGAAGCCCTCGGCGATGATCTCAACGCATCGTTGTTGGTTATAACCAATTCCGTTTCTGACGATCCATCGCAGATCGAATCGGCGAAAGAGCAGTTATCAGGAATGCCGGTTCAGTTCCTCGCAGCAACGCAGGAAGATTCTAGCGATTGGAATTCCATTCAAAAGGTGGCCCGGGCACTACGAGCACCCTGCCGTGCGTTGGCAGTAGATGATGCCGATATCGAAGCGATCGTTCGTTATTCAGAGTCGTCGTCAATTGCATCGGTAACCGGCAGCGATCGGCAATGGTCGGAAGCAGGTTACTGGTTCGTTCCTTTCATTGTCGTGCTGATCGCTTTGTCCTTCCGCCGTAAAGTGCCCCGCGTCGAAGGAGGCCGTTCATGAGACCTATCACCCTTTTGCTGGCGATGACGTGGGCCAGCTTGTGGTACACGCCCGACCAACTTGGGCAATACTACTTCGACCGAGGCGAATTTGCGGAAGCCGCGAAGTCGTTTGAAGACTCGATGTGGAAAGGGGCGGCTCTGTATCGCGATGGCGAATTCGAACAAGCAGCTCAAGAGTTTTCACACAGTTCGTCCGATATCGCGAAGTTCAACGCCGGCAACGCGTGGCTTTTCCGCGGCAAGTACGACTTGGCGATTGCCAGCTATGAGAAAGCCTTAGAGCTTCGGCCAGATTGGAAGGAAGCCCAAGAGAACATGGCCATTGCTAAAGTACGTGCCGATAAAATCAAACGAGAAGGGGGCGATCTTGGCGATCAACAGGAAGGCGCGGACAAAATTGTCTTCGACAAAAAGAAAGAAGGAGGCCAAGATACCGACGTCAGCGGCGACAAAGCGACCTCCGATTCGGCTGTACAAGCGATTTGGTTACGTCAGGTTCAAACCAATCCGGCCGACTTTTTGAAAGCCAAGTTCTCGTACCAATCTGCCCAACAACCGGAGAGTCCATGATGGTGAGTCTTCGTTGGCTAGGTCTATTGTCGATATGGCTTTCGGCGGCGTATGTTTCCGCGGAAGACTTGCAGCCGGTGGAAGCCAATATTGCCGTCGAGAAAGCTTGGGTTGGACAACGTATCCCTTTTCGTGTGGTGCTACGTGCGAAAGGGTCGTTCGAAGGCGCCCCCAGCTTTTCGATGCCGCAAATTCCTCAAACGGTGATTGTGAAGATTGGGAGCCCAACCGTTTCCTCCAAACAGCATGACGACGAAACTTGGTTTGCTCAGTCGCATACGTTCGCCATCTTCTCGCAGGCCGCCGGAACGCTGACCATTCCCGCGTTTCCTGTGCGATTCAGTCACCATGAAGGCTTCACTGGTCCCGTTCAAGACGAAGAACATCAGGTTCCCGAAGTCACTGTTGTCGTAGAAGACCCGCCCGGCCGACCGAGTGATCAATTCATTGTATCGACCAATCAACTTGAGATTGCGGAAACCTGGAAGCCCCAGCCAGGAAAGTTCAAGCAAGGGGATATTGTCGCGCGAACGATTACTCAGACTGCGAAAAACATGACAGGGATGGCCTTGGCTCCGCCTATGGAAAATGCCCCCAGCAGTGTGAGTCTCTACCCGAGCTCGCCAAGCGTTCACGATAAAACGGACCGTGGCGATTTAGTCGGGCAGAGGATTGATACGTTGAAGTATCGCTTCGACCAGCCCGGCACGGTGATCATACCTGAGTCGACTTACACCTGGTGGGACCCTGATAAAAAGCAGTTCGGTAAGAAGACATTGCCAGCAGCAACTTTCGAGGTGGAAGCTGTCCAGCAAACGACCACGGCCGGATCGCCAGCAAGCGAGAATGGATGGCGATGGATGGCTCTCTTGCTACTGCTTCTCGGCACAGTGGGCATTTTGTTCTGGCAACGTGAATGGTTGTTCGATCGCTATCGAAAACTGCACGCCGTGATCTATCCGCCGCACAAAGTCGCCGCGAAGAAGCTGCTGCGTGCTTGTCAACGAAACGATCTCGTCGAGGCGGAGCATGCCTGGGCCGAGTGGCAGAACCTTCAGGAAGCCAGTTTTACCCCTTCGTCTGATCTTGCCGCGACGGTTCACGGACTTCACGCCGCGCGTTACGGCAACGGTTCATCCAGCGATTGGAGTGGCGAAGCATTGAGCCGTGCGTTTCGTTTGCAGTTGACCGAGGGCAAACAAAAACGGCGGCAACACGAGAACGCGCTGCCGCCGATGAATGTTTGATGTTCGCGAATCAAGCTCTCGCGAGACGCTTACTTGCCAGCTGGTGAAAGCCAGATCGCTTCGCCTTGGTTGGCCGAGAGCTTCAGCTCGAACTCATCCTCTGAGTCCACCTCGGATGTCACGACGCGGACTTTGGTTTTGGTATCCATGGTCGGATCGTCCTGGTAACGTCGGGCTTGATAAGATTCTCCAGCAGAGAGGAAATCAAGCGGCAAGCTGAACGTGCGCGTTTCGTTCGCGTTGATCGCACCGACGAACCACTCTTTGCCGCTGCGGCGAGCGATCACCGCGTACTCGCCGATATCTCCGGAGATGACGCGAGTTTCATCCCAGACCGTAGGTACTTCTTTGAAGAGCTCAAGCTCTGGCGAATCAAAGATGCGGTTCCGCGACTTCCGAGGATCTTGGCCGGAAGTTGCTGGCGCGTCGTACCAA